AAGCATTAGAATTCCCTTTGAGAAAGGGTTACCATTTAGGCAGAAAGCCTTCCTAGCAAAATGAGTTCTAACTTTTTGCTACAAATTCTTCTGGAAATGTATCTATTCCTACACTGACCTTGAATTTGTTCAGGAATGGGCTCCTACCATCTCTCTGGGCAACCTGTTCTTGGTTTTGTTACACACCAGCAAAACAGAAAAGCTATCACACCTTCCAGATGCCCACATACTGTAAAATTACAAGTTAAGCACTATGGCTGCACATGTATTAGAAATGCAACCCATAGTGATAACAATAGCTAAGGCCAGGGAACTGACAATTGTATCAGTTTTGTCCTTCAAAGAATTTCATCCTTTATGGGAAAAACATACAAACCTTCCGTTGCTTTAAGTAAAATGCAAAGTAGAATAAAATGGGGCAAACAAACTACAGAGAAAGAAAAATCAGTTCAAGGTAAGTTGATGATGAGAAGTGTATTAAAACATCCAGAGTCTAAAAAAGAACCCCTGAAAAGAAGCTGATAGAAGATGTTATCAGCATATAAAGATTTTTTGAAGTGACTGAGGAGCAGCACAGCACAGAGAACAATAAAAGCCAGAGGTACACATTATTTCCAGTTGAAGTGAGGATCTACTATGCCAAGTGATCTTATTATAGTCTTACCTCTATATCTTACTACCATATCCATCCCCCAAAATCTCTTGCTTCTCTACTCCAGAGTCCCAGATCCTGAAGGCAGTGGGCACTGCACAAGTATTGTTGCAGTGAGACTGATCAGCCACGAGATATCCCATGGCAAAATGCCTGTCCTGCATGTTCAACTTATTTTTTTTTTCCTCCAGTGGAAATCAAACTTTTCTACTAGGTAACTACTCATGCAAGACCAAATGAGTGGGAAATGGCTGAGACTACAGTTCTGAGTCATACTGAGAGCAAGTACTGCAGGAGTACCCCTGAAGTTTGTTCTTGGACCAGTTTGCTATAGGAAATTCGTTCAGATGCTTTCCACATAGTTTATGAACAAACAGGAAGAGCTAACCCTCCCTTCCTTTCTCCCAGTTCCAGGAAAGCCCTGCAGTGGCCTATTTTAGCTCCAGCCCTCTGCAGATGTTGTGAGGTCTCAATGGGTCCAGAAATGTGAAGCTGAAGAAAACTGCATCTTCCACCTGCAGTATGCAATAAAGTATTTGATACATGAAAGTCACTGAGATAAAAAGAAGTTAATATCTAATATTTTGATACAATCTGGTATTTTGATACAATCACTTTGTCTTTTCAGTTAATGAACTATTTGATTATGAACTTAACGAAAAATGGCATGGGCAATGAGCTCAAAAATGTCAACAATCTTATAGCAACAAAAGCTTTTAAACAGTTTGCTTTTGATCAAATTTAATAGCATGGAGTCATATTTGCCAAGAATAGCAGCTGGAAATCTTAAGTTAAAAGGAATTTTCTTTGGGCAGAAGGACAGAACCAGTCAAACTAAGGCTTCGGAACAGAACAGATTCTTTCAGTGCATTGGCAAATAACTTCCTGACACTGGTGACTGGAGCCAATAAGATGCTGCTGTCCTCACACTCACAATACCAAGAAGTGGGTGGGCATGTGAAGGTTTTTGCTGCATTGATCATGAGAAAATGGATTCAGAATTCTAAGAGGAGCAAAAAGGACAAAAGGCAAGACCAAAGCTTGCAGAGCAGACTTTAACATATTCAGACATCTGCTTGGAAGAGTCCCATGGGTTATGGCCCTGGAGAAGAGATAAATCCAGGACAGCTGTTTGATTTTCAAGGATTGCCTCCTTCAAGCTCATGAATGGTTTATTCTGACATGTAGAAATCAAACAAAGGCACCAGGAGGCCTGCATGGATGGACAGGATGCTCCTGATGTGAAACTCAGATGTGAAAAGGAAATGTATGATAAGTGGAAGCAGGGACAACTGAACTGCATGATTGACACTGTCTATCCAATCTTGCAGGGTTGAGATCAGGAAAGCCAAAGCCCACTTGGAGCTGAATGAGGTGAGGAATCTGAAGGGTAATGGGAAAAGTTTCTACATGTTCATGAGTTGAAAGAGGGCACAGAAAAGGCTGAAGTGCTCAAAGCTTTCTTTGTCTCCATCTTTACCGGTAAAACCAGTTTCAGGCATTATAGGCCCTCAAGACCGGAGGAAAAATCTGAGACAAGGAAGACTTACCTTGGGTGGAGCAAGAACAGGTCAGGGAGCACATGGGATGACTTGGAACGCATGCACAGAGCTGAAGAAGCTGAGTCATGCCACTGCAAGGCCACCCTCCATTACCTCTGAAAGATTGTGGGTGACTGGGAGAGATCCCTGAGAGAGGAAATATCACTCCTGTCTGTAAGAGAAGGAGGATCTGGGAAGTTACAGCCTGGCCAGCCTTGCCTTAGTTCCTGGGAGGTGATGGAGTAACCAATCCTGGGAACCCTTGTCAAAGCCATGGAGGACAAGAAGGTGATTAGGAGTAATCAGCATGGATTTATGAAGATCAAATGATGCTTAACAAACTTGATGACCTTCTACAATGAGATGAGTGGCTTAGTGGATGAGGAGAGAGCAGCGGATGAGGAGAGAGTACTGAATGTTGTTTGCTTCACCTTTAGTAAGGCTTTTGACACCATATCCAAAACCATCTTCAGATAAGTGGACAGTAATGTGGATTGAAAAGCAGCTAAACAGCCAGTCCAGAAGGTTGTGATCACTGCCACAAAGTCCATCTGGAGGCCAGTCACCAGCAGTGTAACCCAGGGGTCAGTCCTGGAGCAAATACTGGCATCATGTGGACGATGGGGCAGAGCATGTCTTCAGTGGTTTTGTAAATGATACAACATTGGAAGGAGCAGCTGACATTCCAGGCGGATGTGCTGCCATTAAGAGGGACCTATGTAGGCTGGAGAAATGGGCCAACAGGAACCTCATGAAGTTCAACAAAGGGAAATGTGATGTCCTGCCCTTGGGGAGGAACAAATCCAAGCACCGGTATATGCTGCAGCCAATGGGCTTGAAAACAGCTCCACAGAGAAGAACCCGGCGGTCAACTAGCTGACAACACACCAGCAATGCACCTGCATAGCAAAGACAGCCAATGGCATCCTGGGCTGCATCAGGAAAAGCATCACCAGCAGCTGAAGGAAGGTGATCCTTTCCCTCTGCTCAGCAGAGTAAGAGTAAGATACAACTGAAGGGCTGGGTCTGAGCTTCCAGAGTACAAAAGAGACATGGACATACTGGAGCACCTCCAGCAAAAGGCCAGAAAGATGAAGGGACTGGACCATTTGTCATATGACAAGAGACTCAGAGAGTTAGGAGTGTTTAGTCTGTAAGACAGACTGTTCATAAGGAGTCTTATTTCTGTAAATACTTGATGGTAAAGAAAAAAGTGTATGGACCCAGGCTCTTCTCAGTGGTGCCCAATGACAGGACAAGAGGCAATGGGCACAAATTGAATCGCATAAAATTCCATATGACCACTCACAGAAGTTTTGGGTTTGGTTTTTTATTTCACTACAGGAGTGGTCAATTACTTGAACAGTTTGCCCAGAGGTGGTTGTGAAGTCTCAGCCCTCGGATATAATCAAAACCCAACTCGATATGGTCCTGGACAACTTCCTTTACATGATCCTGCTGTGAGCTGGGACATGGACTAGGTGATTTTAGTCCTGATGAACTAGGTGGCCCCTTCCAAACTCAAGGATTCTGTGATTCTGTGGTTTAGGTGAGTAGTACTGCCTTACAAATTGTCTCTGAACACAGAGAGAATCTGAGGTTTTGGGAAACAGAATTATGTCCAAGTAAATATTAGTCCAATCACAGCTGAACAATAAAGGAATCTTGCAATTTCCAGACTTGAGGAAACTGCTCATTCAAAAATAGCACAGAAGGGTGTAGGTCTCTGTCACAGTGCCTAGACACTGTGATAAGATGAACAGTATTAATAATAGTTTTCCCTCTGCTAGATGTATGTTTTTAGGAGCCTTGCATTTTTGTATAACTTTGTATATGTTGCTTTTTTTCCAAGCATTCATCTTTCATGTTAATAATTAAAAGACCTCAGGAAATGCAGCACACTTTATGAGACTATGGCTACAGTCCTTCCCCACATGCATCAGATATAAAGATATACACTGTACTTCAGCCTTACAAAGTTTTATTCATTTTCTTGCAGAGAAAAGTAATTAACTGGTGGAAAATACCAGTTACATTTTATCAGTATTACCCATCTTTATAAAAAAAGGGACCTGGAGCACAAGACAAAGTCAATACCAAGATTTTAAAATATACCCTTTCTTTATCATGACTGCCTTCAGGAAAGCAGACTGCCATCTACTGCAGCTCTAGTGATAGCTTTCTGATAAAAGCACAGGTGTGATTCTTCACAGTCCTCATCTGTTCCTTGTGAGTCTTCCCACTGCATCCTGAAAAGACACCTGGCTTCAGAACATCTTACTTTTCGAAGTGCGTTGTTCCCATCCCAGAAAAGCTTGACAAATGGGATATTCCATAGTATAAATAGGTAGCTCACTGTGTGATCAAAAATTGTTTCATTCTCAGAGAACATGCAGGAGATTTTACAAGTTTTAGTGAGCTCCCTTTCAGAACGTTCTTTCATGCAACCCAGTAATTTGAACTGTCATAATCCAGAGTGTGTGACTATGTGTGATCTACTAGTTAGGAGCTTACTCTCTTGCACCTAGAGGAGTTTGATCTATAATAAATATAAAATATTAGATAAACCAAGTTTCTTCCAGAAACATTTTTTGCAAGGTTTCTGTAAAGATGAATACTCTTACACTCAAAAGCAGATGTCCAAACTGTGTGAGAATGCCATTGTCATATAAAAGAAAAATCTTTATAAAAAGAACTAAAGTCTTAAAATCTCATTTGGTTTATGGGAATATGTAATGGTAAGGTAGGACAGTATGTGACAACATTAGTATCTCATTCATTTAGATTCAATTAAGTAATAATGTAACTGTATTAAAGGCAGTTTTATTAGGATGCTTAAAAGTGCAGTGTGTCTTGTCCACAATTACATATTAAGACAGATATACAGCATTACTCTTTATTGTGTACTAAGTGCCATAGCCTTTTTTTGACAGAAGTGTTGAAAGAAATAAAAACAATTTTCTTTGCTGCAATATTATATAAATTGCACTAAAATTTGACAACCACAATGAAATAAAATACACTGCAAAGAGGCAAGTTGCACAAAGCCACCCTGATGAATGATACAAGCGACCAACAAAGCAAAGCTTTGAAACAAATCACATGCAAAGTGTTTGTGTTCTTCTTCAGGGCACAGTATTGTAGCTAGAACCACAGTATCATTTCACAAGCAGAAAAATGCTATGTCCATATCCCCAACAGCCCTCTCAGACCTATGCTGAGACGCCTTTTGCACTCCTCAAATTTTTATTCCATGATCCACTGTTACTAAGAATCTAACAGAAACCGTGTTCAGCTGGTGAATCAGTCAAGTATTTCTATTTAATTTATTGGTTTTTTAATCCCCTGTTCACTTACTTCACTTTGTAGTAGTGGAGCATGAGTATTCCAAAGACTTAAAAGACTTCCGTAACTCCTTCATAAAGAATTGCTGAACTTGCCATTATTACCTTTCAAACACAGTAAGATCCAGTATCATCTCCTGACATGAGGAATACTGCAAAAGACAGTCAGATTCCATAGCCAACATAGTGCTGGAAGGATAAAATCAGCTCTATAGCACAAATGCCTCCCTTTGGAGGAAAACAACCAAAACGTCAAAAAATCTGGAAAATCTAAAGGCACAAGTCACATTGATATGTTTTAAAAGCAGGGGTAAAAAAAATATGGAATAACCCCTTCTTTGGGAGCATGTGTAAATGTGTATACAACACTGCTGTCAGTGTGCATCTGTGAGCAACAGGAGAGGCAGGAGAGGAGGCATGGTTGTCCAGTGACAAAACACATACTTTAGTATACAGCCCTTATGACATGCTCATACATGCTCTGTATGCTTTTTTATAAACTGAGAAGAAGGTGACAATATTCCCAAACAATATTCACCAAATATCTCTTTGCTTTGCAACTCCCCCCTCTCTCTCTGTAACTGAAATTTCTCCAACTTTTATCACAGCATTCAAAACCAAGCAGTTGTCATTTTCTGTCACCCTGCTGACAACATTTGAAAATTAAGGCCTCTTTGGTTATATTGTTATCTGAAATTAAGATATTGCAGGTAAAACAAAGAAGTCAATATACTATTGCATTTGGAGACCAATGCAAGTGATTATACTCAATGTTATATTGAATTTTAGTTCCCACCCTGCCTCTCTCCCCAAGAAAACTTTTACAATCATACAAGGCACAAATGGCTAACAAGTCTTAACAAGGTTTAGTCCCTTGCTGCTTCTCTTTTGGCCCTGGTTTAACAATCTTCTGTGGCTTCAGGTAATGACAGTGGGTCCCTTTCGTCCTGTCCTCTCATGAATCTGAGATATTTTCAGTGCGATTGCTATAAGAGGACTCAGCACAGCCTAAAGAGGGAGAAATACATTGAATTACATTAAGCAGAAATATCAAAAGACATCTTACATTTATAAATTCTTCTTTTAACTGTAGAATTATATAATAATAGTAAATAATTTAATAATATCAAAAACTGACACAGCCATAGTGTCTATATAGTTATACTTGGCATAATGAAGTATCATGTTTAGCATATGTTTTGTGAGGTGTTATACTGACTATACCTAAGCTATGCAGAAAAGAGAAACCACTAAATACACTATACTGATAATGTTTCTATGTCACAGGAATTGTGGAGCTCTTGTGAAATCTGCTGTACAAAAAATCTAGAAAAAATTCTACAAAAGTAGAATTGTTTCTATTCTGATAAGTAGAAGCCACATAGATGATATTTTCCTCCCAAACACACTTACTCTGTGAAGCTTAAGGTCAGAAGGTACTGTAACAACTACCCTAACAGAATTCACAGAAGTGTGTTTTGAGTAATACCACATGTTGGTAGGATAAATTCCAACAGAACAGCATGAATTTTCAAGTTTCAGGCTACAGACCTTATTAAATGGCCATATATATGCCCAGATGGGTGAGTGCAAGTAACTATTATGATAGTACCATGTGAAAACCAAGTAAAATACAATTTTTCAAATGGCAATTGAATCTTCTTTCAGTTAATTAAATGATACACAAAGATAAACAGACAGAGCTGAGCTTTGTGTGAAAACCTACTTTTCAGAGAATTGTATATTTGGTTACCAAACTAATGAGTTAATTCTCTGACCCTTAGAGATTTCCCCTAGATGCCCCTTTCAAATAACCTAATTCTGGCTTCAAACCCATCAGGTTTGAAAAAGAAATGAAACAAAACAGTAATTCTGGAGAGCTTAAATTTACAGATATATTTTTATAACCTTAGTATAATCAATACTTTCAATCTCTTTCAGCCACCTAACAGTTTTTGACAGGATGAGGTGTTTGCTTTATTTACACAAGCAGTCAGATGGTTCAGTCAAAAGACTGAACAGACTAACTGTGCAAGTAGTCATGCAGTAACACCATGAATGCCATTGGTGTCAAGTGAGTTTATGATTAAACTTAGTTATGCATAAGCGTGAGTGGTCTGACATGTTATTGTTAAAAAAGCTCCATATTTGTAGATATCTATCTAGTGAATAATTATTGAAGCAGAACACAAGTCTATTAAAGTCAAACATACTTAGAGAAGATTAATATGCAGAACACAAATTCACATCTGTTAGCAAATGCTGCAAAAGTAAATATTAAAATATGCCAATCTATAAGGTCTGGATGACACCAAAGCATTTGAACTCCTCTGGCACTCCTCTAAGAAACCTTTTCCTTATGTAATCTAAAACAAAGGGAAAATTTAAAAAGCAACCCTGCTGACCAGCTTCACTAGACTCTGCTTTCCTAGGCAACAAAGGCACTCAACATTAAAATTAAAAAATAAACCAAGCAACACTTTATACAATGCTGGAACAAAACACAAAATCAAATGAGTTTATGTGACATCCATTTACATAAACAATTTAGGTGCTGCACTTTTGCCAAATGATTTCACTTGTTACTAAATGTTCTTCTTGTTACAACCATGCTTCTCAACAGAGAAAGTCCTTCTCTAATTCTGTCTTCTCATACTTCAATGTAACTATATTTTCTTCATCCAGAAGATATAAAAAAGTGAAAGTGCCGTTCATATTTGGAATGGCAAGAGCAGGACAGAATAACAAGGAACTAGAACTGCATATGCCTTTTAAAAACTCCTTTACCTCTGCCATGAATAGTTTACACTTCAGTTGCAACAGATAAATCCCAGCCAGCAATCACTTATCGATAATATGACTCTAGAAAGCCTTCTATATCTCAAAGAGATCTTGATTTAAAAATATTTTTCAAATGGTTCTTTCTACTTAAGAAATTGTAAAACTTTATGATTGACATGCCAGCTCAAAAAACAATTGCAACCACTCAGAACGTTAAATAACACATTTATCTCTTGACAACTTTTTAGTTGTCCTTTAGACAAAATTTAAGAATTGAAAATTTACAGAACTGATTTAATCAGAATTTTACTTTAGTAACCACAGATAGAAGTTATATGTCTAAAAAAAAACTGGTAGCAATGATTACTTGTACCACGACATAAATCAAGCAAGCAGATATCTGAAATCAGGCAAATAAAGATTAAAAGCCTTTTGCTTGGGAATAATCTGTACCAGAGCTGCCAGAGGCATATCATTCCTGCTTGGCTCATGTAGTGTTTTTTCTCTCTGTGATCTTGCAAGAAAATTCCATACAACTCACTCTCTTCTAATCAAGGTCTCACGTAAGATTTGTCCCATGATGCATGGGGTTTATCAAGGGTTAGGCAGGGCTGAAATGTACCTGCTTGCAGGTTAAAAGCTCTGCATGTCTCTAGAGTTTGGCTTAAGAAAACAGTTTTCTCAGAATAGGTGCATAAATGCCATCTGTATGTCAAGAAACACCTTGTGAAAGCCTTCTATGTGTAGCTTTTATGCTAAAACCAGCCAACTTCCATCACAAGTTCATGCAGTTCTGATGCACAATCAGCTGTCCAGGCTTAGCCTGGAAAGCCCATGAGGCTCTTTAGCTTCTCCCCCAGCCTGCAATGAATTTCAGCCTTATTAGGAAAACCAATTTTACACAGTCTATGCACAGACATTTTCCATAGGTCTTAAATCCACTTTTCACAGTCTCAAAAACAAGTTGCCCCATCGGTCTCACCAGTGAACAGAATTCCGCAGAATTTGTCTGGGAAAAATAAAACAAGCAAACACTAAGGGAACGGTAATACCTTCAAATAGGATCTAAATGTTTTAGTGAACACCAGGTAACTACAACTCTCTTTTATTGTTCTCAAACTTTTGCTCTGTCTTCTCTTACTGCACCCATCTGCATTTTGCATTCAGCATCGTGTCCACCAGTGCTCTTCTGGCCTCTCTCAGCTTTACATATACACAAGTGAAGGTACACGGTGGAACACTAGGATCAAAGTTATTAGATTTGTATGCGTGTATATATATTTGTATGTATGTTATAATTAGCAAAACCATTAAACATTAAACAACATACTCCTTGTATCCACATGGAGAAGTAATGTAAGGCCATCTGAATTAGCCAGTCCCCCTACTGGGGAAAAAGATTCAGCAACAATTGGTTAAACCTTGTTTGACTAGACATTTAGGCACCTGAATTACTAATAGTCAAAAAGACACATACAGAGAGTAATTATTTCACATCAAGCATTCGGACCTTGTGACAGATTTCTAAGCAGTGCTGGCATAGTACTCCATGTTCCAAAAGAATGCCCCTCCCTGGAACAATTGTTAATTGCTCAGAATTAAAGAAAGATAAAATAAGTGGGTTAGTACAGAATGAAGTTGTCAAAAAAGGGCTATAGTTTAACTCCTGGTGTTCTGTCATGATAAAAGATGTGCCAAGTCTTTACCACCTGCGCATATTCTCTCTCTAAAAACTGCTATCAAACCTCAAATTCTATGTCTTCAATTGTTTGTCTATCAGTTTTAGTATCAATTAAAGTAGTTCTCTAGTTTATAATGGCAGCCTTGAGAAAAACATACTTGCAGAATGCTTTGAACTCAACAACATCGGTAATTGCTAGGTGGCGTTATTATTGTATAAATCATGATAAATCTTGACATTTCAGACATGGGCTAGAAATCCTTTTCTCTCCTAACACTTAAATTAATTCTCAGTTCTTCTCTTTTTGTCATTTAAACATTACACAATAGGTTGCTCAGACAGGTCAGGGTAACTGAGACAGCTGGAACAAGGACACAGGGAAACTGAGAAATAACTCCTTCCTTTCTTACCTCTTCCTGCTTACACATCATTTTCCCCTGCTTCATGTGACCGCTTAAAGCTGTTGTTAGCGCTCTGTAACCTAGGCAACAGAATCACTATCACATGAACTAAATGAAAGAAAAACAAAGGCAGAAGAGAGGGGCAAATCCCCCAAAGCACGTTTTGATGGCCTTATTTATCAGAAGGAGCTTTTCCTTTGGCTGTAATACATTTTAAAAGTCAAACCAACACACTTACAAAGCAACAGTAAAGTGATTCGAGAGACACAAAGAATGGAATGAAACAACTACAAAGGGAGCTTAGCAGGAAGTTCACTGAGGTCTGGCACCACAGCTGTACCTCCTGCAGAGCTTCTGCCTTAGGGGCTCAACACACAGCTCAGCTCAAGCTGCTTTGGCCTTGCATTCCAAAAAAACCCAGAAGTCTTCAGAAAGGTTTACACCACAGCCACCTGTCCTAAAAGATCTAAGCAATGTGGATAGTCTGGTTCATTGTGGAACAAACTGAACCTACTTTGTAATATCCACAGCACTGGTGGTGAGGTTTATTACCATGAAGCAGCACACTTTCCACTGAAAAAAGGAAACTGACCTCTCTGCTCTTGTGCATGGTCTCCCGGTCAACTCAAATAAAATAATAATAAAGGTCGGGAAGTCAGTTCTGCCCCTAGAATAGAGGAGGGCAGGCATGATGGGTGAAACAGATAGGAAGAAAATGTAAACTGAGTAGTGAATGGAAACATCTATGTTTGCAACAGATTAGTTCTTTTCAGTATGTCCAAAGAGCTGTGAGCAAAGATCAGGTTTAGCGAACTAATTTCTTTTTTATAATTACTCTCACATGATCTATTTCCATTGCAGTCTCAGATGATTTAAAATTTGTTCACTGTATAGTGTAGTTCAACTCCAGCCAGTAACTAAGTACCACGCAGCTGCTTGCTCACTCCCCTGCCCCTGGTGAGATTGGCAGAGAATTGGAAAAAGACAAAACCCATGGGTTGAGATAAGCACAGTTTAATAACTGAAATAAACTAAAATATGATAATAATATGAATAATAAAAGGAAAAAGAGAGAGAGAGAAATAAAATGCAAACAAGCCCCACAAGTGATGCACAATACAACAGTTCACCACCCACTGACTGATACTCAGCCTGTCTCTGTGCAGTGATCAGCCCCTCACAGCCAACTCCCTGCAGTTTGTATACTGAACCTGGTATCCTGCTGCATGGAATATCCCTTTGGTCAGTTCAAGTCACCTGTCAAAATTATGCTCCCTCCTGGATTCTTGTGCACTTCCTTACTGGCAGAGCATGGGAAACTGAAAAGTCCTTAACATACTTACTGCACTACTCAGCAACAACTAAAATTTCAGTCCGTTATCAACATTATTCTCATACCAAATCCAAAACATAGCACTGTACCAGCTACTAAGAAGAAAATCAACCCAGACAAAACCAGAACAACTTTATATGATTTTTCTGGACCATACTGTATGTTCTAATAGCTGACCAGAGTCATGCTAAAAGACTCAATGCTTCAAAAGTAAAGAGAGGTAATAATTCTCTAGTAAACTGTGCTTGTGCTTAAGGTTGTATCAATGTCCTGACAGAACCATATAGACTCCTTTCATTTTATCCCTATTAAGTGATAGTGGACGCGAGGACTTCTGGATTGTTCATTTCAGTTCTCAGCTCTTGGATAAACTCACACCACAAGCAATCACTTTATATAATCACTCATATACACAACCATATGTAACACAATATTTTCATATACCAAACAAGGTCCACATGCAAATCAGTTTGTTTTTCCTCCGATACTCGCCATTCAAAAATCATTTCAGAAATTCAGTGTTTGATGATCAAGACATATTTTTGATCTTTTCTTTTTCTTTTTTTTTAATTGGCTTGCCTTTTCCAATTAAAACAAAAAGAAACAACTCATGTCCCAAAATCCTTGCTTGGTTGCTGCTAATCTCATGATTCTGCAGCTAACTAGCATGTTCTTTAGTAGTCTTCGGCAAAAGTAATTGCAACATCTGTGATTCACTGCATCCCATTTAAGGAGTACCCAATATAGATTGCACAAGACTGAGGGAGTTGGCTGTCTCCATGATATTTGAAAAGTCGTGGCAATCAGGTGAAGTCCCAGGTGACTGGAAAAGGGGAAACATTGTACCCATCTTTAAAAAGGATAGAAAGGAAGACCCTGGGAACTACCAACCTGTCAGCCTCCCCTCTGTGCCTGGGAAGATCATGGAACAGATCCTCCTAGAAGCTATACTAGGGCACATGGAGGACAGGGAGGTGATTCAGGACAGCCAGCAGAGTTTCACAAAGGGTAAGTCCTGCCTGACAAACTGAGTGGCCTTCTAGGATGGAGTGACTACAGCAGTGGACAAGGAAAGGGCTACAGATGTCACTTATTTGGACTTCGGTGAAGTTTTTTACATGGTACCCCACAATATCCTTCTCTCTAAATTGGAGAGAGATGGGTTTGATGGGTGGACTGTTAGATGGATGAGAAATTGCTTGGATGGTGGACTCAACAGCTAAGAGTCCCAAAGACTCTTGGTGGTGGTTTGAAAAACCTTTTCTCTGGGGCAGTAATGGTTTGCCCCACTGATAATACTAGACCAATCAAAGGTTCATATGCGCCCTGCGGAAATTACATACCCACAGCAACGGAAGAGAAGGGGGTGAGGTAGTTTTAGAAGGTTGGTAGCCATGATCTGAACCACGAGGAAGCAGGGGGCCAGTGAGCCCCCTCTGGGGGCCAAGTGCCCCCAGCCCCAGCTGAGGCTACGAGAGACCCGGTGCAGTGTCAAAGCTGGACTGGGTCCCGTAATCAAGAGGTGGGAGAATTTCCTTACTGTCAGCAGCAGCAGAAAACATTGAAAGCGGCAGTGGAGCAGTCCTGAACAGAGACAGCGATGGCTGAGAGTCAAAAAGATAGCCAGTAGCAACAAGATAACATGAAGCCGGCTGAAGGATGCAGAGATGTTCCTGCAGGAGGGAGAGCTGGCAACGAAACAGAGGAAAACTCAACAGAGCTGGTTTGGGGTAAGACTGTATTAATTTCCCAAAACTCAGAGACAGAGACCTGTTGAAGAGGAGGGGTGGACTTCCAAACCTTTAGGGAGTCCCAAAATGCAGCAGCAGCTAGAGTGAGGCAGAGGAGCCGAGAAACCCGGAGTCGTCCTGAGAGTTGAGCCAGGATGGAACACGGGGGAGATGGCCGTGCCCTCTGCTGCTGCTGCTTCTATCATGCTGGCGAGCTGGGACAGAGCAAAGGAGCTTTGGTAAGACTGAACTGAAAGCTGCCTTCAATGTTCTACCCCAAGAGGAGTGAAGATCTACAAGGAAATCCCCCGAAGGCTCAGGTTCGGGGTTGGAATTTCCACAAAGTAAGAACCAAAATCCTGACTGCCATGCTTAAATCTGCTGCCTTAGGAAAATGATGGACACTAACCAGTGCCACAAAAAACTGAAACGAAGGAACTGTGGCCTGTGCAGTGACAGAAAGACTTTTCTCTTTCCTTCTTGGACTTTTATTGAAGGAAAAGAGGAATTTAATTCAATGTAAATATATATATATATATAGGTGTGAGTAAATAAACCTTTGTAAATACTTTTCCCTTCCCCCAATAACGAATGGTTGTGTTTTGTCTGAAAACTCTCCACATGAAGTGAAAAAGATATCAAGTCCATACCATCACTAAACCCTCTCACAGGGGTAGACTGTGGGAGGGGGGCTTGAACTTAAAATTGGATCCTTGCGAGTTTCAAACCACCACAATGTCAGTGACAAGTGGTGTCCCTAAGGGTCTATACTGGGATGAGTGTTATTTAATATCTTCATTAATGACATAGACAAGGGGATCGAGTGCACCCTCAGCAAATTCGCAGATGACACCAAGCCAAGGGGTGCAGTTGACACACCTGAAGGATGGGATGCCATCCATAGGAACCTGGACAAGCTCAAGAAGTGGGTCCATGGGAATCTCATGAAGTTTAATAAGACCAAGAGGAAGGTGCTGCACCTGGGTCGGGGCAAATCCCGGTATCAATACAGGCTGGGGGATGAACAGATTGAGAGCAGCCCTGTTGAGAAGGTCTTGGGGGTCCTGGTGCATGAGAGGCTGGACATGACCCAGCAATGTGCACTTGCCAACCAGAAAGCAAAATGTATTCTGGGCTCCATCAAAAGCAGCGTGGCCAGCAGGTCAAGGGAGGTTGTTCTGCCCCTGTACTCTGCTCTTGGTGAGACCCCACCTGGAGTACTCTGTAGCTTCGAGGGTGCTCAGCTCAAGAAGGACATGGATCTGTTGGAGTGAGTCCAAAGGAGGGTCATCAAGCTGATTAGGGGGATAGAGCACCTTACCTATGAGGAAAAGCTGAGAGAATTGGATTTGTTCAGCCTGGAGAAGAAAAGGCTTCAGGGTTATCTAACTGTGGCCTTCCAGTACCTGAAGGGAGCCTACAAGAAAAATGGAATTCAGCTTGAGGCTGTGGTGGGTCCATCTAGGAGCCAGCTGAAACTGGCTCTTTTTGACATGGAGGCAGCTTCTGGTAACTTCTCACAGAAGCCACCCCTGTAGCCCCCTTGCTATCAAAACCTTGCCATGTAAATCCAATACAGTAGCAGCTGTAAATGGGATTGTAGCAGTGCTCTTCCCTAGTCAAAATACATCAATGATCTTGCTAGCTGGGTAAACCTGGATAAACAGAAAAACCAATAAAATTGCTAAAAAAAGGTCCTTCACTCTGTCAGAGCTTTAACATTATAAGTATTCTATCCAAGAAGTTACTGAGGATGCAAACTGTTACTTAATAGATCATATCTGCAGGCATGGAGTCTGCAACATTTCTGTAAAAACTGAAGCACTTTTTGTGCCTGACAGACAATGTTTAATAGCACAAGAAGAAACTTGCTAAGTTTATGGTGAGAATCTGGTGAAAAGGCAATACCAAACATTCACCTAGGGTTCAAACGCATTTGAAAGTTTTTATGTTTTGGGACATTTGCATTTGCATTCCAGTCATGAACACACAGCTACACCTGACTTAAAACTACAGTGTTTTGATTTACCACAACCAAATGCTTTCTTTTCCATGAAACATCCTTAGTCCTGTCTTGTATATCACAGCATAAAGGTGGTTTCCTGGGAAAAATCTGAGTGTGTGAAACATGATTTATATTAATTGCTCTAGGCATCTGCTGGACTTTCCAGTAACTTGCTTTCAACATTTACTCTTCTTAGGAAAAAGTCTGGTTATGATATAATTCTTAGACAACTGCAAGTCTTTCCCTTAAAAGGAATCTCTACATTGTTTAGCATCTGGCATCCATATTTCCTAACTGTAGTCTCACCATGAGGAATACTTGGGATGCCCTGACTTCCAGACAACATTCTTGAAAAATGGTTATCTTTTTAAAATATTGTTCTAGAACTTGGATTATGACTCTTTAAAAAAATAGTGAAAAAAATTCAAACTAGAATGTCTTCTTTTAATAGACTTGGAGTCATTGCCCAGAATTCATCACCAGGCATCTCAGCCCTTGAGAGTGTTAGATATTACCATGCCTTCTTGTTGTGTTAGATATTACACAAACATATATTAAAACTGCTGTTCCTGCCTCAAAGCGAGTAGATTTACAAGACTAGGAAAATCATCTACAAACACAGTAAACCAGTCCAAACACTGAGTGTTACTTCTGATTAAAGATGAGAACTCATAGCCACTGCTGTTACAGAGGTAGTACATTACTTATTGGCTTACCACAATCCTATTTCATTACCTGTGGTTCCTTATTGTGTTGGCTAGGATCCTTTTCATAACTCTCTGCGTAGATCCGGAGAGTAGCTCTCACATGACTTGAAGCACTCATTCTGAAGATGAGCCTGGAAGCATCTGAAAAAATAATCCGCAGCCCCTATGAGAGAATAAGAAACAGCATATATGTAAAGTGGCAGTACCTTTACAAATCACCATTCACTGCTTTAAAATAAAAAGTGAAAGGTAGAGGCATTTGGATGCAATTCCTCTTTTCTCTGGAACTTTGGACAACTCACTCATTCCTCTTTTTCCCCATTAAAGACTAGAAATTATGCTGTACATTCCCTCCCACTCCTCATAACAAATACTCTCTTACTGCTGTTTTTATTTTCTTGACCTGATTTGTTCTTGTTCTATGTGGCAGAGTGCAAAATCAATGGCCTGAGAAATAGGTATAAGATCTCCAAGGATGAGTGGCCTAAGAAATACAGAATCCCAGGATCAAAAACCAGTTGTCAGCAGTGAATACAAAAGACAGGACCAGCTGCTGGCCCTCAAAGACCATGCATTAATATCTGACTGCAAGAATTTCAATAAGTTTGTAGTACAACTTGGAAAACATAAGGTGTAATTAATTTCAAGTACACTAATTAATGCATATTAACTGTGTATATAATAAAAGTGATTGACTAATTTAATTAATTAACTGTGAATTTGCTCTTTGCTCCTATCTTCACCTCTTTTTTTCTTTCCTCCTCCCCCATTTTGTACAGCATATATAATAATGGCCCATCTTCGCGAACGAAGATTTGGGGAAAGGTCTTTTACCTTTCCAGCCTGCGCAATGGATTTTTTAGGTGAGACACAGCCTGCGCTGAACTGAGCCCACCCTTTAATCCTAAGGTTCATCTGCCGGGGCCAAGCAAGCTTGGACAATGGCAGTGAGGTCCTCAGGACGTAGGTTTGTTTAGAGTGTCCTTCTCATAGATGGATGGCCACACAGGGCTAACGACCTCCATCAGGCCAGGAGACCGGGGACTTGAACCCGTGGTCGCAGCAGTGAAAGTCCTGCATGCTAACCACTAGGCCACCAGGGGTCTCACAGCATATATAAACCAGAGTCTATATACTTGGATCCACAGTTTCTCTACAGGGGGGCCATTCAGGCCAAGGAACCAAATTGCACAGATAAATAGTTATAGTGTTGCAATATTCTACCAGTTCTGCACTAATATGAAGAACTGTAAATGGTACCCTTAGACTAAGTGTCACCTCTGCTACGTCACTGAACTTTAGTTCCCCTTAATCCTGCTGTTGTCAAACGCCTAGTGCATAAACTGAAACCCTTGCTACTTTTGTTTAAAGGGCAGTAAACCATTAAAAAATGAGAGAACTAAAAGAGATGCATTTTGCTCTTCCAGTTTTATCAGCACCTTGAGAGGACACTGACGTTGGTAACACAGTGCTCCAATATCCTAAAGAATAAGTAAAACCGCTGTTTTCTCAGGTATATGCCAAAACATCTTCAGCACCATATATAGCATTGATTGGTTGATAACTACGGAATCATAGTATGGTTTAGGTTGGAAGGACCTTTAAAGGTCATCCCGTCCAATCCCCCTGCAATGACCAGGAGCATCTTCAACTAGATCTGGTTGCTCAGAGTGCCATCCAAACTGATCTTTAATGTTTCTAGGGGTGGGGCACCCACCTCCAATCTGGGCAACCTATTCCAGTGTTTCACCACCCTCACTAAAAAAAAAGTCTTCCTTATACCTAGTCTGAGTCTACTCTTTCAGTTTAAAGCCATTACCACTTGTCCTGTTGCAACAGGCTCTGCTAAAAGGATTGTCCCCATGTTTCTTACAAGCCCCCTTAAAGTACTGAAAGGCTACGATAAGGTCTCCCTGGAGCCTTCTGTCTCTTAGTGAATGGGCAACTTGTACCTTTCATCCTTATAATTCAAATTTCACAAAAAAATGCAACTGGTTCCATTCCTGGCTTGCTGGATCCTCAGGAGCAGCATTGTTATGTGCTTGTGTTCGCAAAAGCTAGCAAAATAGGACTTAAAATAAAAACAAAAACAGTCTTCAAGAACAGTAGAATGTTTAATTTAATGTTATGCCTTATTACTGCACTGTGATAAACAATATTTATGTGTTTCAATAGAAAAAATTAATTAGAAGCTACAATCAGTGTATTATTTGCGGCCTATTTTCTTGTTGCTGTATTTGTTTTCTGAATATGTTGTTTATTAACACTGATTAATTATCATGTAGCCAGCTTTTCATTCACTGAATATAAATTGCTCTCCCCTACCTACCAGGGAACAAAACTTGGAACAGGTTCCTGAATACATAGCTGGAAAATCCACATGAAGCTTAGGATAGTCTGGAAGAGGCATTTGCATTTAGAGGATGAGCAAACTACCTGAGGAGAATGGCAGCAGTGAACTCTTGTTTCATTGGCATGGATCAACGTCCTCCCCTATTTTATCGTGCTTGGAGAATCCCAACGAGGCTGCAGACAAATGGAGCTAGGAATGTGTCCTTGCCAAAAGGCAAACTGGTTGAACTGTACTCTGAATAATTAAGAGCTTCTCCCTGTGACAAAACTTGCTTTCTGGTTTTATGGTCTCCTTTTCAGAGTCCATCTGAAAACAGGCCAAGTCATGTTTCTCTGTTTGTGTTACACAGTGATATGAACTAGCAATTATATTCCAATATAGAGCAAGGGCTCTGGATGAAAATTAAGGGAAAGAAAAGTGCAATGAAAACCCACAAGCTGTTTTTTCAAAGTACACAAGTCACAAGTCTGCCATGCCTGTAATTTTCCACTGGACTTGGATATGACAATATCCTCATATCTTGTTTCAATAGTAATACACCCAGAGAGTAGCTCAGTGGCAGATGGGCTGCTTATGTTTCCTGGATGCAACAATGAAAGTAAACTATAAAGACTTTCAGCAGAATGGCATGACAACAGTTTTAATGGCTTGTAATATCATTTACTAGGGTCTGATGAGGTCAAGTAATTAAAAAAACAGAGAAACCAGGACAAAAAATATAAACAACATAAAATCAGGACAAATTTTAATATGAGCCATAGCTCATATTCAAGATACTTGAACATACATTTACACTTGGCAAAAGTGCATGGTTACTCTTGAGCACATCATGAGTTTCAAAACGCTGAAGGCTCAGTTTGAACTGCAGTTCTTGACAGTTAAGGAATCTCAGTATAGGCAGAGCCCAGGAGGAACTGGTGATTTGGACTAGAGAAGTCAATTGTGCCCACATAGGGTACAATCTACTAAAGTCTTCTGCATGCTATTGGCTACAATAGATATTTTACCTAATTATGTAAATCCTGTGGGTCACCAAAAGCAAGAAAATTCTAACTTTGTTTGTAATACATGTATATAGATAGATAATAGAAAAAGGAAAGATCTTCTTTTTAGATGACATTTTCCACTGTTCTGGAAAGGGAACCCTCCCAATACATGCATTGCTGTCAACAGGGACTTCATCCCATCCTATGTTCACTGTGATACTACTGTCTCCAATTAGGTACAGCAAGTGCAAGCTAAACCAGAGGTGGATTATCTTGGATAAGACCAAGCCAATCTTAAGTAGAATATGCAGTATCTATCAAAGCAAAGAAAACACCATCCTATAAATAAATGGACAGTCTTGCCAGCTGAACTTTAGAAACAACATTGTTGGAGACAACATGACAAGTGCAAACCCTTGCTACTCCATCACTACAGCCATACCTGTCTTTTGGTCACAGTGCCATCCACAGGATCTACGAACTCAAAGCTGTCTGTTCTTTCCACACTGTAGATATTGTTACCCACAGCAAACTGCTGATGTCTGAATGATTTGTCAGTGATCAAAGCTTCCAGGTCTCTCATTATGAAATATGCTGTTCTGGGTTCCAGTGCTTCATAATCAAACCTTGCATATATATCAAAAAAAAGGCAGAACCAAGAAGTAAGTCCTCAGAGCCCTAGAGAAGACAGTTCTGCTTTCACAGAATTCTATATACTCAAAATTAGCAATTTACTGCTCACTTCAAAAATTAGAGGTGGACCAATGAAGTACTGATTGCAAATTAAACCAGCACACACGTGCAAGTCCTGTGCAATCTGACTATTACATGTGTGCAGCACAGTTCTACGCTGGCCACCTGACTCTGAGTCAACAGAAATAATTTAGAAAATGCATAGTTTCTAAAGTAGCATAGAAAACATCACTGATACTCAGCTAGCTTTCCAAAATTAAGGACACAGTGCATGCTCAACAGACAACGGGGATAGAGAAAACTTTGCTACAAGTTTTGAGGAACAGCTACATGCAAAAAACAGTACAAACTGCAAGCTCCTCTGTATTAAGTCTGGATTAAGAGAGGGGCAGAAACTAAAATGTAAATGACAGCTAGAATTCACCATTTTGAGACCTTAATAAAAATAAGTAAATGTTTGGATGCTTGGAGGAATTATCCTAAATTTAAAGTAGGCATAGTTTCAGTTCTCACTAAAACATTGTCATATGGAAGCACTGGCAGAAAAAAATGCAGGAGTAAATGTTACTGGGATTTTGATTCTTTTTCAATGTCATGTAACAAGCTACACCTACATATTTCACAAGTAAATAATTAAAATCTTTCTGCCATTCAATATCAGAAAATTCAATTACTCATATACTAGCAGCAACATATATATGCTGCTCTTTCTTCTGCCACTTACTCATCAGGAAAAACCTGCCTACAGAACAGTGATAATCCATGGCAGATTTTCATTGATCAAATGCACACCTAAGCACAGCTGAGCATATCTAAACAAACAATGACTGTAGCAGAATTCTCCTACCAACTGCATAAATTCCTGAGCCTTTTCCTCATTTTTCTCACCTGCAGTAGTAGTGCCGGCCAAATTTTGCCCAGTGATCCCTCACAATCTCCTCCACACTCTGCTTTCGGGCTGCTAGGATTGAAAGCCAAACTAGCACAGCCCACAGTCCATCTTTCTCTCGAAGGTGATCAGACCCTAAAGAGACAGACATAAAGTGCATTATTTGGTATCACTGCAAATCAGAAAACAAGGTAAGGAAGCTGGGCAGATGTCTAATTTAACTTTGTATGTCACATAACAGTCATCAATAGTACTAACCTCAGCACCTCTAATATATTCCAGACAGACAGTCAGAAATGAAGTTTAAAATATGATTTATTAATACATGACAAAATCCATATTTCTCAGGTTAAGTAAAAATATGTACAAGTATTTGAAAAGAAATGGTAGTAGTAGGAAAACAATTTTAGTCATGATTCCTGCTCACTGAAGGGTGTTTTCACCTCTGCTACTGTTTTCCAGAATGGGGCTAGATATGTAAACCTAGCCATGAACCAGAATGTTCTGTGTTTAAAGAGTCATGTTCAACAGCATCTTCATATCTCTGCAGATGTTCATCTGTCAAGCTGCAGTGAAAGAATTTTCAGAATGTTCATGATCTCCCATCAGGACAAAATCCAAGAGCTTGAAAAGATTTTTCTGGCAAAAAAACCCCAAAGCAAACCAGAGAATGGCACTTTTTCTCCTTTCTACATTTCTCTATACCATCTAAAGATGTTTGGATGCTCAGATCTAAACCCATTCCTAGGTTTATATTTCAGAAGAGAGAAGTTATTACAACAATGAAGACCAGCAACAATTTTGCAATATCGGATAGGATTTAGCATATAGTCTCAGATCCAAGTAAGATCCAAGATCCCTGACATTCAGTAGTAATGAAGACAATTATATAAGCTCATAGACTCATGAAAATCGAAGAGAGACCAAATATGTGGCCATTGCTCTGGCATAATATACTAGATTTGGCTGAAGTTTGTTAGCTGCAACCTTATGGTTTTCTGTCTAGACGCGCATTATTGAAATCCTGAGTACAAACCAAGTGCAATAATTCAGACATTTTCTCCATTTTGTTTTCTCCATTAATTAACTACTGATTATGGAGGCAACCAGTTGAACTGTCTGTGTCCTCAGAAGAGACTTAGCAAAATCCTCCAGAGAGGAATCTAAACAGTTTTAGGTTGAAAACCTGTTTTCTGAAGTATCCTCCTTCCTCAAACACAAAAATCGTATTGCAGCAAGACTGCTTCGCAGTGCTGTGGTTTTACATAACAGCCTGCCAGGTCCACACAGTCATCTGTCAAAACAGTTGTGTTTTGCTACTGGCAGAGGACATAGTTCCCATAATGTAAATTGATTCCCTGAAGCTGTTAAACCTGTGAAAAACTGTTAACATATTAATGGTATATAAGGAAAATAACAAGACCTGCAGATAGCCACAGGGTGATTCTTTGGGTTCAGTCTTCCAGTCACTGCTGATGCCTTGAACCTGCAGTCCCACTTCTTAGGAGAGATCAACAATCAGGAGAGCAGCCCCTACTCATATGGTTTTGCTAAGAGCTTGTTGTCCTGGGTCTGCCACAGCTCTGACTGGCACTTGCACTTCTTGTGTTACATTCAACCTCAACACCCTGAATCTAACATTACCTACTTAAATAAATGCAAATTTCTATTCAGCACAATATCCAAGTTCTATGGGAATGATTACTGAACACTTGTAACAAGGAGAAAGACTTGCATGAAGATAAATTATGTTTGTGTCTATGTGTTATGTATTACAGAAAAGGGCATTTAAGATTTAAGAGCTGAGACAGTAACGTTCCTTTGCATTTGCAAAGTGGCTGTCATGATAGTAAGAGGACCTCCTTTGTGCTACTTTTTGTCTGTCGTGAATTGTAATCTGGGAGCTCTCTGGAACAACGGCAGTCTCCTACTGCAACAGCCAGAGTTTAGGGCTGATCCTTGAGAAGCTGCTGTAGAAGGAGCCACAGCTCACTTTGTTCCCTGCTCGTGAGTCCTGCCTGCTGTGAAAGCACGGAGTGCCAAACAATCAGAAGAAAAAGGGCAGCGTTATTTATGAGCTCCCAAAGCTTTCCAAAGAGCTTCAGATAAGAAAGGAAAACAAATGTCCCTCTACAGGAAGTCAGTCCTTCACAGTCAGGTCATAGAATCAAGGAATTGTTTGGGTTGGAAGGGACCTTAAAGGTCATCCCTCACCTTTTCTTCTACCTCCTTGCAGTAATACGCTAGATCAGCTTAAGGATACCTTCTACACAAACACCAGTAGTATGTCCTGTGGATAATAAAGTCAGCTTCCTTATAGGCAAAGCAGACAGCACAGTCACAGTCATTAGTACCATATCCAAGATAATGGTCCAGGCTTCTGCCCCTGCCACCAAAAGAGAAATCTAGAAGAGAACTGTCACTTCCCCCTCAGCATATACATCATTCTTCTGGTAACAGCAGGAAAAGTCATCAGGTCACCACAGGGGCTGGGGACACTCAGGGGACCGGGAGCACCAGAGGTTCCCCTAGGCCAGCAGGGCAGGAGCAGCCAGGGCCCATCCTGCTGCTCCAGGAGCAGGGCAGCCGGGTGTACTAGGGCAAACCCCAGCCCCGGGCATCAGGCACGTCCCTGGGGATGGGGATAGGGCAAGGCCAGGCCAGCATGTGGGGCCATGGGCAGGCCTGGCTTGGGGAGGTCCTTAGGCAGGCATGGCAGGGCTGCGGGGAGCTGGAGACTGGCCCTGTTGCAGCATTGCTGGAGGTGGAGCTGACAGCCCGGGTGCTGCTCCTTTGCAGTGGAGGAGCCCTAGGGCAGGACACTGGTAACAGCAAGCTCACCCCACCATGGCTGTTCTTTTCCTTCTTAACCTGCCTGCCTCTCCTTTCAGCCATTCATCCTTAGCACTGAAAAATTCCATTTCACCTAAAAAGTTATCTCTGTTGCTGGTATCACCAGCCACTTAAACGGCTTAAGTGTCTCAACAGACACCAGCAAGAAGTGGAGACATGGCACTAAGCTTAACCCCTTAGCAACTTGTTCCAAGGTAAACGACCATTTATTCTCCTGTTGTGTAACACTCTGCAGACTGCAGGCCAGCAAATCATACAGTGAAAGGCATAGCAGTCATTCAGCAAAATGGTCTATACATCATGACCACTGAGCTGAACACCAAAGAAATGCATTTGGATTTAACAAACACTTTAAATATGTTTCACTGAACCAAAATGTTCCAATGAAACATGGGCAGGAGCATTTCTGGAAGGCTCTCTACTGTGAATCTACACTACTGTGTATCTCTGAACTTTGTTCTGATGTGGCTTAAGTTCATAAATCTATATGAAGAGGGCTGAATGTATACATGTAACATTCTTCTAATCAACTTCGGAGCTTTGGCACGTGCTCTGTCCTTGCATGTCTTTCAGGAGGACATAAATTGTTGCTTCTCTGGAAAGAGAAAGGACTGGGAGAAAGTAATCCAAAGGCAAAATTCTGGATGGAAAAGCTGGAAACAACCCAAGTGTTTCAGAATCAAAAGTCACCAATTAAAAATGCTAGCCTGACATGAGTATAGTATGTGTGCCCAGGAAGTGTCTCAGTTCATCAGTCTTAACAGAAGGAAAATTGACAGCTGGGATTTCTCAGCACTAGTTTATTCCCCTTCTTTTATTTCACCAGCACATCCATCAACTGTGTTACTGTATGCACATATGTTGTTGTATTTATTGCCCTTCCTTCTTTTAGCAAATTAAAATCTATTACTGCAATTCTATTAGTCAACTCTGATTTTCACCTTTCACACAGTTGTCTGTGTCTTTGGTTACTCTCTCTTAACTTATTCCTCCTGCCCAGCTCACACTGTAGAAACTCCAGGGAGGGAGTTGGTTCCTCTGTCTCAGTTCAGCTAACACCATTCCGTGTTTTACAGATCCAGTGGATCTGCAGAGGTAGACCTGACCTGTGCAAAGGGAACAAGGAGGTGCCTCGCAACTATGTATTCCTGAAATCCAAATAGTAATATCCCTCTCAACTTGCTGAAGGGTCTCAGTAACCTCAGTATGATTCTCAGTGCTACTTTTAATTGAAACATCCACAGATTTAATGAAATGTGTTTAATGAGCTGAAGTAAAAAAGGAAAACAGAGGAGTCAACCATTCCTTTTTCTGATTTAACCATTACATTTAATTTGCCATTGTTCGGGGAAATTATAATACCTGCAAGTGTTTCAACAATTTATTTTTAAGTTAATCTGTTATTTCTCCATATAACAAAGCAAAAGTTATTTTTTACTGCTGCAACAGTCAATTGCTATGTCCAGACTCAGAGTGAACAACCTAGGAAAAATTCTCAGAGCATGTTACCATTCATAAAGAAGTACTCAGCTTACACAGGCTTCAACTGAAGAAAACTTTTCAGAAGCAGTAGCTTGAGAAACAAAGTAAGTTCATGCAAATATGTTCATATTATGATTTTTCTGCTCTTTGAAAGCTGTTAGCCATATATGCTGGCTTTTACGTCTAACTTAGATATCTGAGATATCCAATTCTGATAGGGACAGCAAGCCTTGAGGGCCATATGCACAAATAAAATGTAATTGTTTTTCCCTAACTTAGTCATCACTGTCTAGCACATTGCATTTTATAAATGTGACTTTAAACCAAGGAAAATCACAGGAGTACAGAAATGCACAGTAAATAATTTTGTTTGCACACACTTTGAGTCCTACAATTTCCAGCAATCTGAAACTTGATATTTTAGGCAAATGAAAATTTAGGAGCATTCTGATCTCTTCTTTAATTCAAGTTAATGAGATTATTTTAGATTTGTCTTACTGTAACAGATACCAAACATCTCTTTGGAGGCTTTCATTTATTTTAGCAACAGCACGTAATTATTCTCCACTAGTTCTTCTTCTGCATAATCTTTCAGGGAAAGGTGGCTGATGTTAATAGAATCTGGAAATTTGGAACGAAGCAAGTAAATTTATAGAAGTCGTAGCAATTACTGAAGTGGCTTAAACTGCAGAGAGATAAATCAGTCACACAGCTCTCCTAATCCTGATTAATAGTTTTCTGATGAAATTGAGAAACTAATTGCTGCTACTCATGCCCCTCTTTGAACTGTATGCTGGGCATTAGTCATAGAACCAGAAAGCTACTAACTTTATCTGACAAGCTCCCCACACTGCTACAAAAATGGAAGAAGTTTTTAAAGCATTGGTTGAGTTCCAAGATCAGCTGCCAGAAAACAAGTTTGGGAAACACAGCTCTATGAGATGTTTTCAAAATCTTTTGTCCTTTTATAGTAGAAAACTTGCTTTTATTTACTTGCCGGAGCAAAATCCCTTGTGTTATAAAACCAGGGCTCTGTATTACTTGGAAATACCAGCTGGGCTGAATTACCTGGGTACACGAGCAATTGCTTTCCAATGCAGTTTGATGATAGAATGTGGATTTTTAAAACTCCTTCCTCTTGCACAGAGCACCAAGTTTCCCACTCTGATCACTATATGGTATATTTATATAAATATTCCATGCTGAAAGCTGAAGAACTGCCAACTTTCAACTCCCTAAATAGATATGATTAAGCAGAAGCTGTAAAATTGATTCAAATGCCCAATACTGGCAGAAACTTGTGAGGGTCACACAGCTTAGGACATTATTAAAAGATTTGCAATAAGGTAAATATTTGCTGCTAAAAATAGCTCACATTGCTAAAGTATTGGTCATCAACAGACCAGACTATGTTTTACAAATAAACCTGCTGGCATATGAGGACACATTTCAGACAGCTGCATTGAACTGAAAGATGATAAGGAAATGGAGGCAGGGAGAAAAACAAACTTTAGGCATCATAATCATTGCTTAATTGCCTATGTAAGTATCACATAGTCACAGAGTCACAGAATGGGTAAGATTGGAAGGGACCACAGTAGGGCATCTGGTCCAACCTCCGTGTTCAAGCAGGGTCATCCAAGAGCACACGGTAGAGAATTGCATCCAGACAGTTCTTGAATATCTCCAGTGAGGGAGACTCCACAACCTCTTTAGGAACTCTCCTCCTGTCATCTATGTTTTTTACACAGCAACTACACATGCATTAAAGAATTTAAACCCCATGCTCAAGTTCTCTGGATGCCCATGGGATTGAATCTTGAGGATCCAGATTTGCCTTTAGATGGAATTGGATTAAATTGGAGATCAAGAAGCTTTCTGCACTGAAGTACTGCAGGTACAATAAAGTTTATCGGACAAGAACATACCACGATACAGAGATATTGCTGTAGAACAGCTCTCCATGCTGGCAGCAATACGTTGTTCAAGCAACCTTAGAATTCACAAGAGACAGGATTTATCAGTAATCTGAAGAATTAACGACAGGATAGGAGCACCAGACTAATACAAGAATACAGAGAGTGCTAGGAATGCAGAGACTGGTCTGAGATCAGGAGACAGGAGCTGCAAATTTGGAAGAGAGGCTACAGTACAAAATGCAATTGTTTTAGGGCCCTACAGAAAGATACAAGCAAAGAAAAAAGTCAAGGGCAAGAACAGAGAGAAGTTCGGGGAATTTTATTGCCTATCTGGAACAGACAAACCCCAGATGCCCTTCCTTGACCGCCATGAGTGTTTCCCTTCCCAAATTAAACCACTATCAGATACTGAGGATAATAAACTTAGCCAATACAGATCACAATGTCTTCACTTTTCAGTAGATCAAGACCTCAACCCCCCTGTTCGTTTTACATACCTCTACATATAAACCTGCATGAAGCAGGATATGCTGCACTCTGTGGGCTAAGGTATCTAGATGTACTTCAGCCTATGGGAACTCACCATCAAAACTCGTACAAGTTCCTTCCTGTTAAAACCCACACTTCCCTTTCTTCAGAATGATGTTAACAGTAGGATATTTTTTCAAAATATTGAGGTGCTAATGAGGTCATACTGGAGTCTCTAAACCCACTGAAGTTTTGTGAAAGTATCTGGTTTTGCATGAGCAGGAGGAACTTCAAATATTTAGAGGGAAGAGGTACAGAATTGGCCTGATGAAAAAGAATCAAAAAGCAGTGAGAGTTGAAAACTCCCAGTTCACACCTCTCATGGGCAAATAGAAGCAGAGTTCAACAACACACCACAACAAATAGCAGTATATTCTGACAGGTCAAGATCTTCCTACCCTTCTCTTCAAATTAAAAATCATTCAGTGACCTTGCAGAGCACCCTGTAGAGAAAGTATCTATTCAAAAGATACTTCAAGGCAATACAAACCTGTGCCACTCACAGCGATTAGTGAAGGCATCCAGGTTGCTAATCATGGGACATTGGTTACCATTCACAACAAAAAGAAAATTAACATTCATTATTAATTTAAATTCTCTTCCTTCTTACTTAGAGACATCTAAAGAAATCTAACACATTTTTGGTTCTTCCATCATAGTCCATTCAGATCTATACAGTAAATGACACATAGAGTGGCATGTCTATGGATTAAAGGTATCCTCATTTTTAAAGAAGTAGCATTCTGCTCTAATTGACCTCAACCAACAAACTGAATACTTGACTTAATTAAAGAAAAATGTAACAAGTTTCACTGCATGGTAAATAATTTTCTACAAAAAGCTGCAGCCAAAGAATTTCACATTCAAAATAAAGAACTCCATGAAACTCACATCAAAATACAGAATAAACTATTAACCAGGTATATGGTTAAGTTATTCCAGTACATGATCCTGTGCCAGAATCTAGCAAAAGAAAAAAAAAACCCATTCTGAAATTTATTCAGTTTTTCTCATAAACTAAAGCCATATTTGTGCAGATTTACAGACTACATATTTTAATTGTCTGCTCTAATGCTTCCTGTCAGCACTATATTTCTGATGACTCAAATTTGTTGTTCATTCTGCATTCTGTTGCTTGACTGGTTCTTGTGACAGATAAGGGACAAATACCCAGGGAAAACAGAGATGCTAATATGTAACTGAATTTCTTCTAATGATGATTTTATCTGAGGTTTGAGTAATTGTGATGTTTCAAAAAGGGTTGCCTGTAACAGGTTTGTTTAGAAATGCCATTGGAAATACCAATCCTCATACTTTGTACACCTAATCACATTAGGAAAAACCACATGGTTTCCATATGGGCAAAATCCCTCCAAATGCTGTTGCAGTCTGTGAAAAGACTATTACAGTGGAACCAATGAAATCTTTCTGCATTATGTGCAAGTCAGAAGAGAGTGCCAGGCACCTTCAAAAGCTGTCTGCACAGTAATAAGTTTGCCTGTCACTTCTGAACATCTGTCTTCTACATTTTTCACACCTCTGGTGGAGGTGATGGACACCACAGTTGAAAGATGACCCTCAAAATGTGAACAACAGACAGTTCTCCAGCACAAAACAGTTCCAGCACAAAACAGTTAATTCGCTGATTCTTTTGGGTTTGACTTGAGGCATCCAGAAAATTAAAAGTTGTCAATAAAAGTCTGTGGCAATTTTAGAGCATGTATTACTTACCAGTGCCAAAACTCTCCTCTCCACAAAGTGAACAACGTCCAGAGTCCATGAGATTGGAAAAGTATCTCCATCCTGCTGGTGTCTCATACACAGGAACCTTCATTACTTTGGCCACTCTGGAATAAAACATCACAAGATTAAGACAGTGCTTTTCTTACATACGATATGAGGTCACTTGAGGAATATTCTAGGTCTCACTACACTTCCTGACAGCTGGGATATAAGTTAAAAAAAAAACAAACAAGAACAGATCAACAACACCATACAAAACTGATCCTTGTCTCAGAACCTAACTTCAACCAGAACCCAGGTATGTTTATGTAGTATTTTGGAAAATGTAGGACCTTAGCTCAACAGGCTTTACCAGTATCTTTCTCTTCTTACTGAGCAAGAAATAGTTAACTCTAAATACATGGTTTTTTTAATGAAAGTTAAAGTACCATATTGAAGTACCTTCCTTTACAAAATACAGGTGGTCAAAGTCAATATGCTTCAAAGACTTGTACTTGTTAATGTGTTCAAAGCCCAAGACAATACAGGGATGTTTCCATGATACAGAATGCCCTTTAAAAACCTTTCCCAGTCTCAGATTGAATCTGAACAGGAACTGTTCCCTTATTTTCCCTGTCTCCTCTGACACACAAGATGGGCCCTTTCACTATCTGGGTGACGTGCCAGTACTTTCAAGGACCAAAATTAACCACCATATAATCTGGATGTGTGTTCTCTTCCCCAGGTTGTTAACTGGTAACTATTCATATTATAAGATATGATGAAAAAATCCCTTATTGGACTAAAAAACAAGAAAGAAAGAAAACCCACTCAACAACCCTAAAGAATTCACCACCAAGATGGGACTTATGCAGAATGAATATTACCAATCTTCTTGTTTCTAATGATATTTGCTGTTTTTCATTGTGTGCCTAGGATTTTCAGGACCAACTGTTTTATAATACGAAAAATAAGAATTGAGATACAGTGAAGCAATCTGACTAACTAAAAAAGACCTTATGATTGCTCCAACATTCATACCTAACAAACATTTTTTGAAGCAAGAAAATTTACATAATTTTAATCGCAGTCAAGCCCAGGCAAAGCAGATCAATCAAAGCTGGATTCAACGCACTTAATACAATCCACCTAGAAGTTACATATCAAGGTTGATGCCTTAAGCCCCCTAATGTTTTTTTATTTTTCTAATTTTGTAAGCCTTATAAGTTTTATAGGTAATAGAAGTAGATTTTAGAAACAAACCCCTTTCTCCCTCCTCCCCTAGCACCCCTTAGTTTATATATTCCTTAATCCTCTCACCCCATTCCATACCCCCCATGTCAACCCTATTCCCGTATCCAGTAAAAAATGTTCAGTCTCTTAGTCAAGGCAAGCCTGTCTTGTTTGGGGAACACTTGTATCTTGGCCTAAACCGCAGGACAGAGTCAAGGAACTGGGTGACTCTGCTCTCTGTACCCCGAAGATGATGAAGGATGATGAAGAGGGGGTCCCAAAAAGCCCCCCGACCCAATTCCAGGAGGTGGGCCAGGGGGTGGACCAGGCCAAAAGTTATAGGGTGGACACACTTGGGATTGGCCAGATATTGTTATAAATGTAACATCTCGGGCACAGCCCAGCACGCGCGCGTCGTTTACCATCTATTGCCTTGGCACAATTAAACCCTTTCTTATCTCACCCCAACTAACGGCTCCTGGATTTTTTCTAAGCACCACCTGAGCAGGCATCAAGGTGAAAGCAGTCATCACTCTGACCAACAGAGAGATACCTGTTTTCTGACAGTACAGCACTCTGTCTTAAATTAGGCACAAAAAGTAGATGGGATGAACTGTCCAAATATGCCAGCACTAACCCCTTCAAAACCTACCTAAATGACAGAATCACAGAATCATCAAGGTTGTAAGAGACCTCAAAGATCATCTAGACTAAACATCAACCTAGAATAACCATAATCACCCCTAAACCATATCCCAAGTGCCGCTTCCAGAGGCCTCTTCAACGTTTCCAGAGATGGTTACTCCACCACCTCCATCAGCAATTTATTCCAATGTCTAACCATTCTTTCAGTGAAAAAAACCATTCCAATATCCAATCTGAACCTTCCCTCACAAAACATAAGGCCATTTCTTCTTGTCCTTTCACTTGAGACATGGAAGGAGAGACCAACCTTTGCCTCACAGTAGCCTCTTTTCAGGTAGTTGTAGAAAGCAGTAAGGTTCCCCTCAGCTTCCTTTTCTCCACGTTAAATAACCCCAGGTCCTTCAGCCACTCCTCATATGCCTTGTGCTCCAGACCCTTCACCAGATCCATTGCCCTTCTCCAGATTTACTCCAGCACCTCCATGTCTTTCTTGTAGTGAGAAGCCCAGAACTGAACACAGGATTCAAGGCGGGGCCTCACCAGTGCTGAGTACAGGGGGACAATCCCTTCCCTGGTCCTGCTGGCCACACTATTGCTGATACAGGCCAGGATGACATTGGCCTCCTTGGCCACCTGGGCACACTGGTGGATCACGTACAGCTGCTGTCAACCAGCACCTCCAGGGCCTTTTCCACCAGGCAGCTTTCCAGCCACTCTTCCCCAGCCTGTAATGCTGCCTGGGGTTGTTGTGACCCAAGTGTAGGACGTAGTATTTCACTTTATTGAATCTCATGCAATTGTCCTCAGCTTATCGATCCAGCCTGTCCAGACACATCTGCAAACTCTTTCTATCCTCCAGCAGTTCAGCACCCCTGCCTGACTTGGTGTCATCTGTGAACTTACTGAGGGTGCACTCAATCCCCTTATCCAAATCATTGATAAAGATGTTAAAACAGGATCAGCCCCAGTCCTGAGTCCTGGGGAACACCATTAGTGACCGGTCACTAACTGGACTTAGTCCCATTCACCATGGTAAGTGGCGACATGACAGTTCAGCCCTTATGTACTGTCTCCGAAATCTTCACATTGTTAACCAACACTGATATTAAGTCCTCAATAAACATTTCTTTTATGTAAGAAATATCCATTGCTATCTATGTTTCCTCCTATTCAGCCTAGGTGTTAATTTTTGTACTTACATATTACATCTAAAAAGAGTGATTTTTAAATGAGACAGAGTAACCATTGCTGACATTTATTTGAAAAGAGCTGAAGATGTACATGAAGAAAAAAGTTTTATCAAAATGGTTAATCCTAAACTGAGCTTTCATATGTGTGGTTTAGAGGTAGAGGTAGGTGTATACCTCCTTGTGTTTATACAGCACTATATACATTATTGACCCTTAGAAATGCTGCTGCATAAGGGAGTTTTCACAGTGTGCAGCAGAATAGGTTTTTGTCTGGCTCTGTAAAAAAATCAAGAACATAAAAGGATTTAATGCCTGTATGACAGTAACTGCAGGCTGGAAACAGGACTGTACTGCCAAAAAATAGAAAACAATAAACCAGAAAACAATAGCTAACATGCTGGAAGAACAAAACCAGTTCTCTCGAGGTACTCTAACAATACAGTAGGAGTATGTTTGCTTGCAGAAATGTTCCCACATCCCGGTACTGTTTTTGGAGAAGGAAATCATTTCCCTTTCACTTTTCTGTATTCCTCTGGTCTGAGGATAAACAGCCTAGAATGAACTTACTCTGACCAGTAAGCACCAAAAAACTTCCAGAGGTTGTAGCACTTTTCAAAGATTTCTACACACTAGGCTAGCACTGAAAATACAAATGTTGTTTCTGTTGGCATGCTTCTTTTTTATTGACATTATTGAAATAAAGAATCATCACTGGAAGTCTCAATAAGTGCAGAATGTGACTTTATGCAACCTATGACCACCCAGAAAACATGAGAAGGGTTCCCACAGGAAGATGCAAAAATTCTCAAAGCTGCAGACTCAGAGAAATAATGTGTTGCATCAGATCAAACAAATAATCACATAAAATACAGGAAAACACCCTCAGAGTAAGGAAACTAATATGTGACTGTGAAATTACGAGATCTTCAAAGCCAGGGAAAACAGAGATAAGATACAGGAAAGGGGAGAGTTTTTTTTTAATGTTCCTACATCTACATCTTTCTAAACAAAAAATGTGACTGGTATTACTTCAGTGGAGAGAAATTAAAAAAATACATATAACCTTCATTTACTAAAACTTTTTTTTTTACTTAACCAATCTGCTTTTTTGTAGACAAAATGACTAAATCAGAGCTTTCAGTCACAAAAGCCAGGTTTTTGTTTAAAGAAGTTCCAGCTGAGACTGGTAGAATCCCTGTGGACCAAAATTTGGAAATTAGTTTCTATGTAACACTGGAAGTTTCCAGCACTATTTAATGCAGCATATGGCTTCATGACAAGCTTGATAGATGTTAGGCAAAAAAATGCTTAGGATGAGGGTTTCAGGAACTTGTAATTCTGCAAGAACAACTGCTTAGAAGTCACAGTAAGCATTTTCATCTATAACAAATCACAGATCCATTAATTACATTCTGTGATGTTTTTAGCAATGTACCTTCATAGGACAGTTCAAACAAGACTATGTACATAAGCTTTTCAAGTTTCTCTTCTCTTTCCAGCTTTCACTGGAATCCCTAAATTTGGGGAATCAGAAATGGAAAATCAGGTGGTTAAGGAAAAGAGTTTTGTCTATATGAGATCACTTTATGAGACAAAATACTACTTCTCTCAGAAAGTTAGTTTGGAACTAGTACTGCAAAGGGTTTATATCTTGCAGAGGTCTCACTCAACAGTGTAAACTTTGTATGTCCTTATATTCGTATAAGGATATACGTATAAGATACTGATGCAGTAGTGTACCTGTAAGGGCAAAACCACAGGCTCTGAGTTGTTGGGGTGTAGGTATTAGCTGTCAAAAGGCCTGACTTGATAGATGGAATATAGTTCCAGAACAATTTAAAATAAAAACTGGGTAAAAATATGCCCTATGAATAGGTTCATTTTCCTTGTTTTAAGTAAAGGCATTCCATTTATGTCTAACCACACAGTTGATATACCTGTGTTTATGTGTTCCATGAGTATGAACTATGCAGAAAGAATACAAATGACCACAGACATTCTGGTTCTTGTCATCTTGGACATTTAATGGGACTGACTTCAAACAGTCTTCTTGATTACCTTCTTTCAGTGTAAGTGCTCACTACATCAGTGAGATTACACAATAAAGATTCTTCAGTTTGTGTGTAGCACTAATTAGCTCTTGCTAGACTAGGAAACAGAGTATTTACACTTGAAACTAAACTGAAAATACCTTAGTTATTCTGACCATATCAGAGCTAAGGGCATTTATGTTCCCAGTATTCTGAAATACTAATGAAAGAGAAAAAGATAAATCAAAGAACAGTGAACTGTACTTTTTGCAATTACACACATTATTTAAAACTATATTTTGTGACATTAAAAAAAGCAGGAGCAGATGCTTTTAAATGCGGAGATAAAATGAGTTAAAATAAGAATAAAAATTCTTGTACTGTTATATAGTTAAATTTACTCTCCTACTGTACAGTTTCACTGTCATTTTTATTTTGAAGAGCTAGTCCCACACTACCTGTACAGACTGCCCTCTTTTCATTCAAACTTGAGGAGAATGCATACAATGCAACCATGAGAAGCACTTTCATCCCTAGAAAACAGAATTATTGGAGAGTTTAGTACCAAAACAGAAATGTTAAGCCAATTCTTGAACTCTACAATAAGTCTTACCTAAGCATGAGCTTGCCAGTTGATAATTAAGGTAATAATGAACATTAATTACAGCCTTCATAATAAAGATCAGGATTTTTACAAATTTGCTGACAGATTAAAAAAAAATTAAGATTAGTTCTAATATTATCACTTCTGCATCAGGCAACTGAACTACTAATTGTACAGCTGCACATCTGAATATCCCAAGTCTTCTTCCTTATACTTCATAGCCACCTACATGTCACCTAACTAGGAAAATAGAGGGTATAGGACTCTTGATAGTCCACATTATTTTCCTTTGAATTACAGAAAAAATACTAGCCTGCTTAAGCTGTGTAAAAAGATACCTTTCGATTAAAAAAATGTTCTTTTATTTACAAGTGTTAAAGGAATATCCTTGTGATACCTTTCTTTCAGTTTTCAATAGAGACAACAGACTATTTTTTACAGGTGGGCTAATAAAGCAAAGTGATCCTTGAGAGTATCTCCCAGACATCGTGGCTTTGCACTAGCAAAATATCTCTGAAATCAGCAGAATTACCCTGACTTACATTAACAGAAGTCAGAGGGAAGTTTTCTCCAAGCTAATCTATATAATGCCACAAAAACCTCCTGATGAATACAAGTCATTCAGATATAATAAATGGCCTGTGGCAAGCTGACTTTCTTGTGCCCAGTGAAACTCCAAGAATAGATCCGTCAATCAAACAAAATTATCCTGCCAAATTTGTGATGCCTATTCACTACAAAGATAAAGGTCACAACACTGGGAGAAGGGCTTTCTTTGACAGGCCTCATGATGCAAATGACTGGCTAGAGCTTTGCATTGCAGGTGAAATGCCAGTGTAAACTGGGATAAACTGTTTAGGGTAAACTGCAGCATGCCCTTGTCTCCTACTTTCCACCACCTGTAGATATCAGCTGACATGTGGAAGATGCTCAGAGACACCTGGGTGAACAGGCTTCAAAACAGAGACTGGTGTTCTGTGGACACAATTATTTTCAATCCTACTCCTCTCTGTGATGCCAGCACTAAGGAAGACAAGGTGCTGTAACTTAGAGACCAGCAAGCCTTACTCTGCAGAAGGGTAAGCACTGTCAGGCCCTAATAATAAGGAATTGAAGGAATTTGTGGGACAGACACGAGGGCAGTGAGAGAGACTGAAGGGCAGTGTGTGGCAGCAGCACCTGATGAGAGATCAAACCTCTATAATGGTTTCTTTCAGAGTTACTAAGGCTATAGAAAAAAAAGGTTTCCCGCTGGGTTTTCTAAATCTCTCCTTAGCCACTGAAGTAGCCTGTGTTATCTAATCTCCAGCTGATAAAAGCCTCATTTGATTTAAGGTCTGAATATTTTATTTCAAAGACAAGACTATGATTTGACTGAAATTAAGAAAACTTGTTTTGCTTTCCTCTTCTGTAGTCTTTCTTCAGGAAAAGAATTAAAGGTATCTCAAGTAAGGATCCACATCTGATTTATCAAGAAAATAATTTCTCTAGCCAAAAATAAGTCTTCACACAGTCTAACCTTAGCATACAAATCTTTGTATCTAACATTTTACTGCCTGAATTGCTTGAATTTTTTTTCTAACACTCTGGATACTTCTGAGATCGACACAACTGATAATGTTTGCCTACCTTATTTTTCCATCCCTTTAATAAAAATCTGTTTGGGCTGTTTTCTAACTATATAATATAGACTTTGCCTTCAGTGTACTTGCAACCAGATGCAAACTTTAATGGGCTCATTCTTTTGGAGTACCCTCTTCAACATTCAGATTTCATTTGCAAAAAAAAAAAAAATTAAAAAAAAATTTAATTTTATTGACACCATATTAATTGCCCTTTTAGTCACCAAGTACCTAGCCCACTCTCCCTGCACGATGTCTCCAGTTGTTCTTCTGTGATTTCTTCTTCCTGATGCCTGAGAGCTCTTTGCCACTTCATTTTTCAATTTCTGAAGTCTAATTCAGCTCACCTTTGGTCAGTTCTCTCTTCATTCTTATTATTTCTCAAGATGCAAGAGTCATGAACTAAATGGTTATAACATCTATTTTCAATCCCATCTGTAAGTCTCCCCTTTTTATCTGTGCAACTCCAATAGACTGAGAAATTCACAGCAGTAGCAATGACAGCACCAGCACTGGCACTAAGTATAATGTGAAATGGATGTTCTGCTTCTGGATGTTTTCACTCTGTCTGCACCACCTTCCCTTAAAAGGGCTTCAACTGCATATTGTGCAAGGAGCAGAGCTAAAACAGCCACCTCCCATATATGGTCAAGTATTATAGTGTTACTCCTTCCCGGTCTTTAATTTACTAAGTAAAAAAGCAGTGGAATGCTAAACCCTTGCACACAACACAGATAACCAGGACACACCACTAAGATAAGATGTAAGCCGTCATGTTTGGCAGAGAGGCTGTCAGGAGCATAAGGCAGAAAAAAATAGGCAGTAAACAAGTGCCTTTACTTTTTGCTTTCTAGTATGCTACATCTCACAAAGAACAATCACAGTAACAGAAATCAATTTTAAAAAAGCATCTGAAGGCAATTTAACTATAAAGGATCAAAAAAATTTAGCTTTTTTTTTGTTTTGCTTCCTCCCAACCCCTGCAATGCTTTAACTAAAGTACTTACACAGTTGGACTGAAGGTATGCTGAATCAAGCTCTGGTGTTCAAGAGTAGTTTCTGTCCTGAAAACTGGTAACTTCAGGTGGATTTTTTTGGATGACAATAGTTCTGAGGACAGTTATGCATTAATAATAATTGTGGAAATCATCATTAGATTCTAATCAGGACTTTGAATTGACTTCCTATCAATGGAGTCTCATGGCACTCAAGTAACGTAACTGCGGTGCCAACTAACTGATCCAATATTGTCTCCTGCTGCTCAGTCTCACACTGGCCTTTCTGTATGTTTGAAATCTTTCAACAGGAAAAACTAAAAATTACTTTAGCAGAAAGCCAAAGTCACAGAATCACAGAGTCACAGAATCACAGGATAGGTTGGGTTGGGTTGGAAGCGACCTTAAAGATCATCTTGTTCCAGCAGTCCTGCCATAGGCAAGGATGCCACCCACCGGATCACACTTCTCCAAGCCCCATCCAATGGCCTTGAACACTTCTAGGTATGGGGCATCCACAACTTCTCTGGGCAACCTGTTTCAGTGCCTCACTACCCTCACACTAAAGAATCTCCTCCTAATATCTATTCTAAACATCTTGTATTTCAGTTTAAAACCATTCACCTTTGTCCTGTCACTATCTGTCCATGTCAAAAGCTGCTCTCACTCTTTTTATAAGAGCTCTTAAGTACTGGAAGGCTGCAATGAGGTCTCCCCGCAGCCTTTTCTTCTCCAGGCTGAACAACTCCAGGTCTCTCAGCCTAACTTCATAGGAGAGGTGCTTCAGCCTTCTAATCATCTTCGTGGCCCTCCTCTGGACCCATTCCAATGGGTCCACATCTTTCTGGTGCTGAGGGCACCAGAGCTGGATGCAGTACTTCAGGTGGGATCTCACCAGGGCAGAGCAGAGGGTGAGAATCACCTCCCTCGACCTGCTGGCCACCCATCATTTGATGCAGACCAGAATGTGGTCGGTTTTCTGGGCTGTGAGGACCCATTGCCAGCTCATGTCCAGCTTTTCATCCACAAGAACTCACAAGTTCCTGTCCACAGGGTTGCTCTCAATGAGTTCTTCTCTCAGTGTGTACTCATGTCTGGGATTGCTCTGACCCAGGCGCAGCACCTTGCACTTGGACTTGTGGAATCTCATGGGGCTCTCATGGGCCCACTTCTCAAGCTTGTCCACATCCCCCTTGATAATACCCCTTCCTTCTGTTGTGTCAATTGCACCACTCAACTTCAAGTCATCTGCAAACCTTCTGAGGGTGCACTCTACCTCACTGTCAATGTCATTGGTAAAGATATTGAAGAGCATTTGTCCCCAGGCAGAGCCCTGAGGGACAGCACCCATCACCAGCCCCCACCCAGACATAAAGTCATTGACCACAACTCTTTGGCTGCATCTATCCAGCCAATTCCTTATCCACTGAATAGTCCATCCATCAAATCCATCGCCTTCAATTTGGAGATAAGACGCCATGTGGGACCATGTCAGAGGCATTACAGAAAACTAGATAAATGACATCTGATGGTCTTCCTTTGTTGGTCTTACCTTGTCAGCCATTGTAGTCACTCCATCATACAAGGCCATCAGACCGGTCAGGCACAATCTGTCCTTAGTAAAGCCATGCTGGCTGCCTTGGATTGTCGCCTTGTCTTGCGTGTGCCTTAGCATTGCTTCCATGAGCTTCTGCTCCATGATCTTCCCAGGCACAGAGGTGAGGTTCATCGGTCTGTAGCTCCCCATGTCTTCCTTTCTCTATTTTTTAAAAATAGGACTGATGCTTCCCTTTTTCCAGTCACCAGGGACTTTGTCTAACCACCATGACCTTTTAAGTATGATGGAGAGTGGCTTGGCAACAACATCAGCCGATTCCCTCCAGACCCTGGGATGCATCTTATCAGATCCCATAAACTTGTGCCTATTTAGCTTCATCAAGTAGTCTCACATTTGCTCTTTGTTGACAGTGGCAGAAACTTCACTCCTGCAACCCCCACTTAGATATTCAGGGACTTGAGAAATGTGGGAAGCCCGACTGCCAGTGAAGACTTAAGGTGAAAACTCATTGACCACCTCAGACTTCTCCATATCTGTTTTCACCAGTTCTCCCTTCTCATTTATCAAGCTGGGAACACTCTCCTTGGTCTTTCTTTTCTGATCTATGTTCTTATAGGATCCTTTCTTGTTATTCTTCAGATCCTTTGCCAAGTCCCATTCCATCTGTGCCTTAGCTTCCCTGACCCATCCCTACACACCCAAACTATATCTCTGTACTCTTCCCAGGTCACCTGTCCCTGCTCCACTGGCTGTGCGCTCCTTTCTTATTCCCTAGTTTGAGGAGCAGATCCTTGCTCAGCCATGCCAGTTTCTGTCCTGCACTGCTTGATTTCCTAAACACTGGGATGGAAACCCCTTGTGTGCTAAGAAAACTGGTCTTAAGAGTTGCCAGCTCTGGTCTGCTCCTCTGTCCCTAAGGACAGTTTCCCAATGGATCACATCCACAGAACAGCTGGAAGCTTGTTCTTCTAGAATTCAGGGTCCAGACTTTGCTCCTTGCCAGGCCCGTGCTCCTCAGGATCATTAACTCAACCCAGGCACGGTTGCTACAGCCTAGGCTGCTTCCAATCTTAACCTCTCTAATGAGTTCATTTGCACTGGTCCAGGTCCAGTAATGCTTCTCCTTTTGTTGGTTTCTCTAATAAATCCCATAAACACAATCTATCTTGCTTGTGTCTTGTAATACAAAGCAAACATACATACATACTACAAACAGCTACATGGAACACATCGATGTTCAGCACAATGACCACCATACTCAAGGACTACTGTGCAGAATACCAGCTGCTTGGCTTTAAATCTCTAAACCAACAAATTTAAAACTTAGTATTTCCCTTTGCGTAGTTCAAGTTCATCGGACTTTATCTGTCTCCCTTGGGAGCAGACTTGAAAAGGCTTGCACCATCACAAGGGTGATTAGAACACTCACCAGGGAACTTTGGCTCCCAAACATCCACAGAGAGGCACTGCAGTCAATCATATTCCTTGTTGTCACCTGCAGGTCATGGTGTGAACACACAGTGCCGTATTTCATACCAAGTTTTCCTACACAGGCTCTGTAATACCTCAGTCAAATGTTAAGAGCAACTTGTGCAACAAATCAAAAAGGCAGCACTTTTAAAAGTACTTGATACATTTACAAAATAATGGAAAACTAATTTGTATCTCAGTCCCAACAGACAACTTTCTGATTCAACCGATCGCAGGGGGTAAAAGTAAATTCATGTGCCTAATTCCATAGCCAGCTACAGTGCCAGGGGAGCAGTGCAGAACTGAAATGCATTTGTAAGTAGCCCAATAGCTGCAGCACAGCTCTGATTCACATCTCTGAGAAAGGGCTGCAGAATGCTACTGCCTCCTCCCTGCTCTTCAGGGAGTAAGTGGGCAAAGTAAAAATAGCTAGCATGGCTCCTTGCTGAGTCTGCCTTTGTCTTCAAAACTAATGTGATAATCCTGTCCACTACGGGCAGGAGGTGCAAGGGTACTTTTTATGGGCACTGTACTTTAGCCTTTGTCAGCTTAAAGAAGACAGAAGTTCTCCATCAGCCTGCACCTCAGGAAGTCTTCCATCATCCCCACATCACCATCGGCCAATCAGAACTCAATTCAGTCCAACAGTTTAATTACCTAGGCAGCCTCATCTCCTCGGATGGTAAGATTGATGGGGAGATAGACGATAGGTTAGCGAAGGCAATTAGTGCTTTTGGAAAACTCCATAAAAGAGTATGGCGTAATAAACACTTGAAGAAAAGTACCAAGATCAGTGTTTACAGAGCCATTGTGCTGTCTACTCTTTTATATGGTTCCGAATCATGGGTCATCTACCGCCACCACCTGCGTCTCCTAGAACGCTTCCATCAACGCTCCCTCCGTACAATCCTTAACATCCACTGGTCAGACTATGTGACCAATACATCTGTTCTCGAACAGGCAGCAATTACAAGTATTGAGGCCATGTTACTGAGAACGCAGCTGCGTTGGGCAGGGCACGTCTCTAGGATGAAGGACCACCGCCTCCCTAAGATCCTGCTCTATGGTGAACTTGCCCCCGGCTGCCGCAAGAGAGGAGCGCCGAAGAAAAGATACAAGGACTCCCTGAAGCAACAACTCAGCCTCGGGCATATTGATCACCATAACTGGTCCACTCTGGCCTCTAATCGGGAGGCCTGGAGACACACCATTTATAATGCTGCTGATGCTTTTGAGAAAGCACGCAGGATCACCCTTGAGGAGAAAAGACAACGCAGAAAGAATCGTGCCTTGCAGAATATACC